ATAAATTACAATAAAAACTCTGACACAAATTTTTAAAAATAAAAAGAGAAAAAAATATAAACAACTCTTAGGCTCCGTTTGGCAAGGAAGTTTGGGGGTATTTTAGCCACAAAAGACAATATAGGCTATTTTAGTCACAACAAACAAAACATCACATTCAACTCATAATCATTACACTGTTTTTTCACAAAAAAGTAAAAAAAAACCAAAAAGTCAAAAAGCCTTTCCCAAACCAAGCTTTTTAGCCCAGGCTAAAATAGCCAAAAAAGTCAAAAAATCAAAAAGCTAACCCACTTTCCAAACGAAGGCTAAATACTACACCAAACAGGGCATTTTGGCTCATTAGAGCACTTGGCTTGACTCAAACATGTGCTTTCAGAAACATATCGTTGGAATTGATTCTAAAAATAATGGAGGATTTAGTGATAGACCCCTCACTATTTAATTTATCTTTTAAAATGACAAGAATTATATAGGTACTTTCAAAACTCCCTAGTATTTTAAAACTTGTTTATTTTACTATATTAACCTTGTATCTATCAACTCTTTTATTAGGCCATCTTTACAGTGTATTTCAGAGTAATTTTATTTTGAATCATAGTAAACTTTACTCTGATTTAGAGTAAAAATTGTTAAGTAAATCAACATGTTTTTACCTAGAGTAAAATTTTATTATGAATCATAGTAAATTTTACTCTGATTCGGAGTAAAATTGTACTCTGAAAGTATAATTTTACTTTGAATCAAAGTAAGTTTACTCTAAAAGTACAATTTTACTTTAAATTAGAGTAAAGTTTACTAAGACCTTGTTTGGGAAGCGACCGGTTTAGCCAAAAAGTCAAAAAATTACTAAAAAAATTAAAAAGTCAACAACTTATACCAAAAAGTCAAAGATTTCATTTTGTCTCTACATTTTGCACATCTTTTCGTAAAAAGTCAAAAAGTCATTCCAAACATACTAGTTTTTTTTACATCACATTTTAGCCAAAAAGTTACTAAAAAAGTCTGTTCCCAAACAAGGCCTTAGATTCAAAGTAAAATTTTATATCGTTAAGTAAATCAACATGCTTTTAACTAGAGTAAAATTTTACTGTTACAACAAATAAAATACATGCTAAATGAATAAACCAGAGTCAAATTTTACTCTTAGATCTATTAACAAATAAATAAATAAAAAAAAACCCAATTGGAAACAACAAGACAACATTTACAACTTAGATTGCTTTCTGGCCTTTGAGAGAGAGATGAGGAAAAATAAAATAGAGAGATCTAAGAAAGAGACGGATAATGAGCTCCAATTGGCTTTTCTTATCTCTATATCTCTTATCGACTTCATAAGAGAGTTCGAAACCCTAACCCTTCAATGATCGTCAATGTTAGCAGTCGATTAAAGCTCACAATGGCGCCATTAATGTCGTCGTAGCTGCGAACGACGGTAGGAAGAGAGATAGATGAGAGAGAGAGAGAGAAAAAAAAAAGAACAACCACGATGTTCGAAGGTGGCGGCGGTGGGGTGGCAGATGAGCTAAGAGGAGTAGCATCGCGGCAACGGATGGAAAGAGATCGACGGGTGGCGGCAATAGAGGGAGTGAGACCGATGGACGGCGACAACAGGGGAGATAGATTGACGGGTGGCTTCTGACATAGCTATGAAGAGAAGCAGTGTTTAGAATGAGAGAAAAGAGACAAAGAAGGTGGGGAGAGAGTGAATAGAGAAGGTGGGAAGATGTAGTTGAGGGTATAATAGTCTGATAAAATATTTAAATAATAAATTTTGTCCTTTATGCAATACTTGATAATTATGAGGGGGTTTAGAAAGTTTAATTTTTTTCTTAGTCTTTTTAACAATGAAAGGAAGATAAAGGGGGTTTATAGCCAAATTTCCCTCTAAAAGTCAAATTTTTGTGCTTATTAAACACATGCATTTACATTTTCGTTATCAAAATTATAGATAATTGCATATTTCCTTAGAAGTATATACTTATCAAATTAAAGTTTGAGCATCCATCACTTACTATTTATTAATAATCATGTCTCAATGACATGCGGTTATTTAATTTAAAAGTGGCAGATATTGTTGGTAAAATCAGCCTTGTATTTTATTTTAGAACAAAAAAAACACTTTTTCATAAATTCTATTTTTTTATTTTTCGTATTTTTTTTATTTTTGCTAAATTTTTTTAATATTTTAAGCATTTTTTTTAGACACACCTAACATAAATACACCTAAAAAATAAAAAAATTATAAAAAAATCTTTTAAAAATTCACTAAATACCAAAAATATAAAAAAAATACAAGAATTCAGTATATATTTTTTTTATATTTTTATGTATTTATTAATTTTTTAAAATATTTTTAGATACATCTAAGTAAGATGCATCTAAAAAAGTAAAAAAATTATTTAAAATTTAAAAAATATTCACTAAAAACAACAAAATACGAAAATCAAAAAATTCAAATTTTAAAAAACTTATTCCAAAAATCCTAAACTAAACACACTGATTATTATTTGTTGACTCATCTTGCTTACATATCTGCGTTTTTTTTTTTTTTTTTTTTATACGAGAAAATACATTATTTGTTGACGTAAGGTGCACCTAATTCACTAGGATTTTTAAATAAAAAAAAAAAACTAGTTAATTGATAAATATCACTAAAATTATGATTTATAAACATGTTTAAAAGTTTGAAAAATGTTATTCGGGTGGCAATTGCCCAACTTGATTATTGGCATGATAATTTAGAAAATAATACATTGGTTGGTTAGAGTTTTTCAAAAATACTTTTTTAGAAAATTCTACCTTTTTTTTTTCTTTTTTTCTTTTTTTTTATTGATTTTTTTTTAATAGTTTAAGCAATTTTTTAAAATTTTAGACATACCTAATATAAATATACCTAAAAAGTAAAAAAAAATTATGAAAAAAATCTTTTAAAAACTCACTAAATAGCAACAAAAAAAAAAAATTCAGTACATTTTTTGTATTTTTATGTATTTATTAATTTTTAAAAAATATTTTTTCACAATTTTTTTATTTTTTAGATACATCTAAGTAAGATGCATCAAAAAAAATAAAAAAAAATTGTTTAAAATTTTAAAAATATTCACTAAAAACAAAAAAAAAATATGGAAACCAAAAAATTCAATTTTTAAAAAACTTAATCCAAAAAACTCAAACAAAACACACTGATTAGTGTTAGAATCAGATGCTTGCTATCTCATCAAAACTCGCAAATAATGGTAAAGGTGCAACAATATTTTCTTATAAACTTGCCACCACAGAACTCTGTACTAAGCGATAGGTACGCATAAGGGACTGCGCCATAAGTGTCAACGAGATGTGCTGTCAAGCACCAATGCCACACCTTTACATGACATCGAAACACTTGAAAGACTTGAACCCCCATACATGACATCAAATCACTTAGAGGATTTAAACTCGTAACCTCTCTCTAATACAAATTGTTAAGATCAAACGCTTCTATCTCAATAAACTCCGTAGGTAGCAGTGAATGTGAAACTTTATTTTTTTCACACTTGCCAACGCATAGCCTCGCACTAAACGCCATATCGCCATGAAAGGCTGCATCATAAACGCCAACAAGATAGGTTGTCAATCACTGACACCACACCCATACGTGACTACGAGTTAATAAGGTGATTGTTGGCCCCATAACCAACAATTGGAAATACTAACAATCTTATTAATATGCTCACAAGTTTATGTGTATCCTACACCGAATGATAGTGAATTTCATCAAAGCTTGTGAGTGTGTTAGTAAATTTTGTTAAGTATAAAATTTTGTATTTGTAACATAGTTGGATAATTTATTATAGGGAAATTCTACTATACACACCACTTGAAAGAGGTGTACCATATGCACATTTGATTATATTATTTTATTCTTTAGTTATGATTATGTTTTCTTTAGTTATGACCCATGAAATGTTTGGTTATGTTGCACGTGTTGTTTGGTTATGATATTTATTTATTTATTTAAATTATGGCTTAGAACGTATGAAATTATATCATTTTATTCTTTAGTTATAAGGTGCATTTGTGTATCATAGTCTTTTCCTTTATTATAAATATACAAATTTTTATCTTTTAGAATTGATGTATATATGTAACCTAAACTCATAATCTATTAGGCAGGACAGGAGAGACTAAAGACATTTGGCCTAATAAATGATAAGATATGTCAGGCCTAATGACTTATCCTGAAGGTCAAGGTGTCGATCTCACAAGTTGGTCGAGAAAGCACACGTCTAACTTAACATAATAATCATCATGATTTGCATCCATCATCATGACCTATGAGAGAGCATGCAATTTATGTGTACAACATCAAAGATATGTAACACGATATCAAAAAGTCCTTTATATTTGAAACTGTTACTGGATAGTAGAATTATGGCGATCCATGTGGCACTGACTAATTAGAAGAAAATTTGATAGAATTATTTTCTTGATATGAAGCTAAAAAATAGATGGAATATCACAACGGTGGGGGAAGACTAAAGTGGTAGTTAGAGGTGATTGGGTTGCAGTAATGGTGGGTTTGTGGAGTTAAGGTTTGAAAATAAAGTGATGGAGAAGATAAGTGAGTCAATGAAGATGCAACGACGAATGGAGCTGTCAATGAGAAATAAATGGAGCAACATCAATATTGACAATGAATAAAACACTAGTGACAGATGATTTTAGGCTCAAAGTTAAGAATAAAAGTTAAAAATGAAAATATTAAGAAAAGTAAGTGGTGTAAATTGAGAAAATAACAAAAATTCTATAAGGTACAAACTGAGTAATAATTTGTATCCATAGCATTGATGGAATGGTAATATGTAAATAGAAGCTCCCATTGACAAAGGAAGTTAGTGACATTTTAAAAGAATAAGTGGGTGATAATGTAATTTCATATTTGTAAAAGGGGGTACAATGCAATTTAGCCAAATATTTTTTGATTTTTTGTTGTGTATTCCGGAAATCCGGACCTCATTTTGTACTTTTCGCACCCCCAAGCCTTTTCCCCATCAGCATAGGTCTTGCAGCTGAGATTTTTAGGAAAGGAAAGGAGGGCTTCGTGTCTGTCTATCTATCGATCTTTGCGGCTTCGATCTCACTCTCTGCAAATTAGGGTTTTTGCTGTGTTTTTACCTCCAAATAAAAATTCAAAACACACCTCAGCTGTTCAAACCATATCTTGCATCTCTCTCTCTCTCTCTCTCTCTCTCTCTCTCTCTCTCTTTGTCTCTGCACAACTCTTCAATCAACTTAGGGTTTACAGATCTAAACTCAAGCTCGCCTCTCCTCTCCCCTCTCTCTATCTTCAATATGTTTTGGAAACTCCCTGTTCTATCTGCTTCTTCTCCGGTAAGTTTTTTCACTCCTCAAAATGCTTAATGCACCGCTGCTGCTTTGGTTTGTGCAATTCAAATTGGATTTGAAACATGGTTGAAGTTTTTATTTCAAATCAATTTTTTTTTTAATTTTAATTATCTGTAAAATTGTTGTCTCTCCCAATATTCAGTTATTTCTGGTATTTGTTTGAGCTGAATTATGGTAATCTGGTTTCTGTTCCAAATATGAGGCATTAAAACCCATAAATTTGTTACAATTGGTAGATAAAGTTGTTCACAAACATACCCCTGGAAATGGGGGTGTTTTGCATACTAATTTCATGACAATTCACTTAGTGGGGATTTAATTTGTTTTGATGACTAAGTTTTGGGTAATGCAGCTTCAGTTCTAACAAAATTCATTTACTTCTAGATTGGTTGATGAGAAAACAGAGGAAAAGGAAAAAACATAGAGAATTTTTGAATCTCACTACTGAAATTTATTTTAAGTACTTCAGGAAAATCTCGTCACAATATTTATCTGTTCTTGGAGAACCCAGCTTGATGAAGTCAAAGAAGTCTTATTAGCACTAGTTGAGTGGATAAACTTCTCAGATTTCAAGAATGGAAGTTTAAACAATTAGTTTTCATTTCCTACACATGCATTTCAGCCAACCGAGCTTGAAGGTTTTTGACTTTGAAGTTATTTGCTTTATGTTTTAAGATTTTAGTTTGATGGATGACATTATAATCACTATTCATTTGATAACTTTTCTAATTTGTTTGACATTTTTCTTACTACTTTCCAAGGCCCTGATCTTGTTGGATTATTTGTTTTTTATATGTGAGTTTTCCATGGCCCTTTTCCCCCACATGCTTTGTGGGTAGATTTGGAGGTGGCACTTTTGGCAATGTTCTTTTTATTTTTCCTTTTTATTTATTTATTTATTTTTTGTGGTATTCTTCCTTTAAATTGTTGTATATGTGGAGGAACATGGTTATGCTTTAACCTTTATCTTCTTATAGGTAGTTCTTTACTTATAATGTTTGATTCCTATAGTCGGTGTTTGAAAATTGATGGTTTATTAGCCAGCATTTGGTTGTGGGTTACCTCTTTTTTTGTTTCACTCTTAACTGATCATTTTTATTATCCTTTGTTCCCGCTTTCCCTTCAGGTTGATGCAGTACTAGACAAGGAAAATTTCACATTGGAAGAGCTTCTGGATGAAGAAGAGATTATCCAAGAATGCAAAGCTTTGAACAGCCGTCTCATTAATTTGTAATTTATTTACTCTTTACAACTCCCTAAGGTTTTGCATGCCATCATCTGGGGGGACACATTTTAATCAATTACAAACTTTTGGCTGTCATTTTATTTTTCCTTGATTATAGTTCTAGAAAGAAATACAGCTTTATGATCCTTGGAAGTTGGAGTCAGTGTGCTTTATACAAACTGCATGTTTGTTAGTAATGCAGAATTTGATTCTTCAAGATGCTCATAAATTAAATGTTTTGTCAGTTTACGAGATAGAGCTCAAGTGGAGCTGTTATTGCGGTATATTGTTGAAGAGCCTCCAGAGGATGCTGAAAGCAAACGAATCTTCAAGTATGTTGTTATGATTTGATGGAAGAATAAGTTTTTTCTTCTCTCCCTCTATTTTTATGCTGCAATTGTTTTAAGGTAAATATATTTATTATTTATGGGATTTATTTTATTATCTAGGTTCCCCTTCATCGCCTGTGAGGTATTTACATGTGAAATTGATGTTATTTTCAAGACTTTGGTTGAGGAAGAGAAGGTATGTGTTTTTTATTATAAATAACTGCACTTCATAACTAGTTCTGAAGTTGTTTGGTACCAGTTTATTCTTCTAATATCGTATTCTTATTTCAATTGCAGCTAATGGACCTACTTTTCTCCTTCTTGGAACCAAACCGCTCACATAGTGCCTCGCTGGCTGGGTATTTCTGCAAGGTACACTTTGGATATATCATAAATTTACTACTTATCAAGTTTCTTGGTCAATGCTTGTTCATTTTGTGTATTGGCTAAAGCCAGTAGCATGATTTAACTTTTTGCATCATTGTAGGTTGTTATATGCCTATTGTTACGGAAGACGGTCCCACTTATGAATTATGTTAAGGTGAGTAAATGTAAATCCTTTAAATTGTCTATGTATTGTGCATGTTGTCCGTATTTTGCATTTCTTCTTCTGTTGCAAATTTTTGGCATCCTATCTTCAATAATAGAAATTTGTGTTGCCTATCCCAAATAGCGGTTGTGATTTGGTGTTGAGACCTAGTTTCTAGATCTGCTCACTCTATCTCAAGTTCTAGAATAGACAACTACTCGCATATATGATGAATTTGTTGATGCAATTTTTATGGTTTGTATGGATTATTGACTGAAAATTATTATGCACTTCGTAATTTAGTTGTCATAACCATTTCTACTAAGTTGATGTAATTTACCCCTTGATTATTCTGCCCATCAAACATTATCTCAATCCAAGAAATACAATCTTTAGTGTGGGTGTTCTTGTGCTAGGATTGCATAGAATATGTTGTCTGCCATGATACCAATACATGGATACTTGCATCAAAATGAATTGAAATGTGCTCAGTCAAGGTGAGCTAGCAAAGGCAAGGCACGCATTCATATTTTTAGGATGTTTGCTTTGAAATATCAGAAGCATAAGTTTCCTATTCAATTTGAGAGATCTATATGAGGTGGAATGGGCATGTAAAACATAGGTGAGAAGACTAAGGTGTCTTTCTTTGTTTGGTGTGCGGCTCATGCTAAGATACTTACCATCGATAACTTGATTAGAAGGTATTGTATGCAGTGTTGTCAAATCATGATACGTATTGTGTATCGTTATATCATTTTTATATATCATGTATCGTAAGATACATTAACATATATAAATATAGATAAAAAATAAGTATTTTCATATAATATATAAATATATTACAAAACATAAACTACTACATCATATACTGAATGACCAAATTGGTCAATAAGGTATATATAAATTCAATCAAATTAAATTCATGATAATAGTTTAATTTCTTGTAGCAAAAGGAGTATGAGAGTCATTTTTTCTTTCTAGTTTATGTGAATTTGGGTCTCCTTTGTATGGGATTTTTTGATAATATAGTTCATGACTGTTCAATGAGTGTGAGCTATGATGATTGATAGTGAGAAAAGTAGCTAATGGGGCCAAAGGTGAAGAAGAATGTAAATTAATTAATTGTGTGATACGAGTTAATCGCGATATGATACATAATTGTACGATACAGAAACAAATCTCACGATTCAAGTCACCAATACTACGAGTCCGCGATACATATCTTGTTTCATATGATACGATATGTATCACGTATCGTACAATTTTGAGAACACTGGTTGTATGTGTAAGCCTAATGAGGAAATAGTTGACCATTTACTTATTCATTGTGAGGTTGCTTAGGAGTTGTGGGTGATGATCCTTCTCTTATTTGGTGTTGCTTGGGTGTCTCTAGGTAAGGTGAAAGGAGCTTCTTTATTCTTGGTGTGGAGGCTGGGAGGGAAGGAAAAAGCCTTGCAGCTTGGTTCTTGTTAGCACTTTTGTGGTTAATTTGGGGTGAGCAAAATAGAACTTTTGTTGGTGTGGAGAGTCCTGTTTTTAGAATTAAGAGCATTGTTTTTTTTAATCTTTGCTGCACAGTTGGTTCCCAGGGCTAGTTTTTTTTTTTTTTTTTTGGAGGAGAAGTTATACAATTAGTGGTCCTGGAGGGCAAATCCCATCGGAGGGAATGCCTCTTGATGTTCTTTTTAATCCACAACAGCATCCAAAAATAAATAAATAAATAAAATAAAAATTCCCGCAAGAAGAAGATGGAGTGGATTCCTACCTTTCACTGGTGAGTGTGCACACACACACATGCAGGGAGAGGGCTGTTGATTTTGGATGTGAAATCATCGGCTCCGATGATCAAAGAAGGATCATTGTTTTTGTTTGTAGAGGGGCAACCACCCTCAGAAACTTCCCAATCTCTCTGTTGGTTCCCAGGGCTAGTTGACCCATCTTTGAACCATTTTTTGGATTTTGTAGTGGGTTTTTGATGTACAATTGACATGGGTTTTCTTTTGTATATGGGTATATGGGTTAGGCTTCCCTTTGGGGGGTGCGTGTTTTTATTTATTTATTATTGTTAAATAAGTTTTTACTTATAAAAAGGATGTTACCTTGAATTGGTTTGTGTTTTTAAATTTAATTATGAAAAGTAATTAGCTTTAGGGTTAAAAAAAAGAAAAGAGTAGTTGCAGGCTTTGTGGATTGGAAAAAGGTTGGAATGTGCTTTGTTTAAATAGTACTGTAGCAGGTTGTCGAACTTACTTATTATATTCTGATGTAAGTTTTCGAAAGCACCTATACAAGCATTTATCTTGAGTATCCTTTGGCCTTGGAGAGCCCCTACTGTGACCCTATCCATTGTGCTTCACTGTTTTATATTTTTGGGGAACTGGGTTGAGACGTCCCTTTGTTTTGTAGCCTTGTTTAAATGGAGATTATTGGTGAGGGCTTTCAATTCTGGTTCTGGAGTTGCCATGGAAGCTTAACTGGTTTGAGTCATGGCTTTGGAAATATTCTTTTTGATAAGTAGAATGTATATCATTATAAAGCACCAAAAGGGGCCATCGCTATCCATGTCAGATGAGACAACAAAGCTGTATCCCTATGGAAATACAAATGAATGCAAATCAAAATCCAAAAGTGGCTCAAGTATGGAATTTCCTTCAAAATAGAAGTCTTTGATCTATGAATTTGGGCCTCCACTCCATCTAACGAATGACATGAGAGTTTAGGGTTATAGGTGTGGTGAATTAGGCTGCCGTTTAGGGATGGATTCACGGTGTCTGGAAATACAAATTAAGAAGGGAAGGAGGAGTCAGCTAGGAACCTCGGAGTCACTGCTATTGAACTACTAGCTACTCAAAAGGCATATAGGAATTCTTAAATAAGGCCTTCTAGGTAAAAAGACTATCTATAAATTGAGTGTGAGTGTGCCTGTTTCATGCAAGAAACAGATCACAATGAGATGCTAGGTACAGTTTTTACGAGCAATGGATGATTTGTTTTGTTTGTTTGCCTGCCTGCCTGGGTGCCTTTTTTTTGTTTTTTTGTTTGTGTGTGTGTTTCTATCTCGTAAAGCTTCTCTTAATTGTTTTCTTGATTTTTTACAGGCCCATCAGGATGTTTTGCGGCAATTGGTTGATTTGATTGGTATTACTTCCATCATGGAGGTTAGTTTACTCTCTGTTTCTAAAAACTTGCATGTAATTTGTGAATTGTACTTATCCTCTCCTCTTCCCAACAATGTATATAATATGTACATATGGATTGATTTTGATTTGCAGTTAACGGTCCTCTTTACTGATGAACTCTTTACACAGGTTTTGATTCGACTTGTAGGCGCTGAGGATCATATTTATCCCAATTCTCTGGATGTGATGCAGTGGTTGGCTGATAGTAATTTACTAGAAATGATTGTTGATAAACTGAGTCCACCTGTAAGTAAAGTTGAAATATGAGTTTATATTTTTGCAATATTACTTTCTCAAATGGGTCATGTCAATCTGTGAGCATTGAATTTTGGATTGATGGGCATTATATGTTTGACTGGTCACTGTACTCTTCTGCATTTATATAGCAAAGCCTCACTATTCATTGTCTTTAGTGGAGTGTTTTTGAATGATGATGAATTCCTAGGAAATCTTCTGACTTGAATGTTCTTGCATTCTCCATCTGCCCCTGGTGAAGAGTGGAACCTTTGTGCATGTATATGGAGCTCCTCTAAAGCCTCATCCCACTTGGATTGAGTGCGAAGCCAGGAAATGTTCCTCTAGAACTGTGTTTTGGAAGACTGGCATGGCTCTTTGATGGTTAAGAAGTGTGCAATGTCAACATTGGAATTCCAAAACCATTTTCATGTTGATTTTTTGTGCATATTCAGTTAACTGATTTTGTGGTTTTCTCATCAGCCACTTATCTGGAAATATGTTTTTGACATTGCAGCCATGTTTTTGGCATGGAGGTGTAGCTACAAATATTGTCACCTTTATTGTTTGATTTTGGCGTTTGTGTTCGAATGGTTGCTTGGTATAGTTTTTTGCATGTAAACAGTATTTTTCAATTCATTAGGTGTCCATGTCACTCTTTCTGCAACAAATCATGTTGACTACTTTGTTAAAATTGAACAGAGTCCTCCTGAAGTTCATGCTAATGCAGCAGAGACTTTAAGTGCTATAACTCGTAATGCCTCCTCAACTCTTGCTGCTAAACTTTCTAGCCCAAGGTTTGTAGGGTTTTGGTTTTGATATCTCCTTGTAACTAGTTTTTGGTCTCTTGCTAGTTTTAATTGGATAGAAACCCACCAAATGGTTCTGATATTTTTATTTTTCTACAGTTTTGTTGCTAGGATATTTGATCATGCACTGGAAGACTCAAATTCAAAATCGGGCCTTGTCCACTCTTTATCTGTATGTATATCTTTGTTGGATTCAAAAAGATCAATTCCTTCTCCCATGTTTCATTCCTTCCGAAGTCAACACATGTACGAGTCACCTACACCTGTTAATCCTGAGACTGTTGGTGCAATGCTGCCCAAGCTTGGTAAGTGTGTCATAAAATTTGTGTATGTTTGCTTGTGATGTCAAGGTTTTTTCTACCTTACGTTAAATTTGTTTCTCTACCCACTTCAAATACTTAGAATATGAATTTATGGCTATAGCTTGTGCACAAATTGGATTTAGACTATGAATTTATGGCTATAGCTTGTGCACAGATTGGATGTTTATGTACTAGTCTCAAATGGGAAACTTTTTTTCCTTTCTTTGTTCTGAAACTGATATTTCTAAGTTTCTTTTCTTTGGTTTAAGGTTACTTTCTTTGTTCTGTGTAATATCATGAGCTCATATGTTATGATAGACCATCTGCATTCTATTGATGTGAATTGGTGCTGGAAACTGTTGAACATTGTTTTAAATTTTGTTTTCATTAACTTTGAAGTTAATTCATGAATTGAAACACATGATATCTACACTCGTTACCGACATTGGTGGCAAGTTCCCTGCACCTTGATGTGTTTTGGGTACTGGCCTCCCACTTTTTTTTTATGATGAGGAAGAGATTATCACATAGAGAAATGTTTGAGTCGACATAATATGTATATAGATCTTCAAGTCATTTGTTTCTACTGCATGTTTCAAGTGAATAATCATAGGTGTCTTGTGTAAAATTTCTCACTCCTTCACCATATATGATGAATTGGTTGCTACAACAAAGGTTCATTTAACCAACTAGGCCTAAACTAGTTGGCCGCCGTGACTTTCCTAAGGGCTTAGTCCCTAAGGGGAGGTCATGGGTTCAACTCTTCCTAGGAGGAGTTGAATTAAGGGAGCAAGCACTTGGTGCTTTGCAATGGGTGGGGAGGCCAACTCCTGTAGGTGCTTAATATAACAACTGACTTTCTCCAATCAAAAAAAGAAAGAAAGAAGTTTCATTTGGCTTCATGAGTCTAAAATTGCAGAAGGAAAGTACTGAATTGCTTATTAAACTTGGATTGATGGATCTTAACTCCTTTCAGCAGAATCCTACCGAACAAGCGTCAAACCTATTCTCTTCATTTTGTGGAGTCCATTGTTCCAAGATATTATTTGATACCTGAATTCTTGTTTTCCAGAATATTTTTGCCAGTTTTTAGACTAAACTTGACACTGCAAAACGTGATTTGACTTGAGTTTGTATATTTGACACTCTACTGGGCATTGTCTATTGGTTTTTTCGCTTTTATGTTGGAGAGATATCATAATACTAATATATGTTCTTTTGGGCAATTCGTGTATGTCTGGCTATTTAGTCAGTGTGGATTTTTGTTGCGATGGTCCTGCACATGACATTAACTACCCTCTCTCCTTTCTTCTCTTGGGAAATAATTAATCATTTCTAGAAGCATAGAATGCACATGAGCGAGAACTTGCAATACTTTAAAGTAGCTAGATAGGCATCTAGTTTGCATAACAAGAATTCTGAAATTCCCTCTTGATTGAAACCTAGAACTGCAGGATTTTAAATACCATCCTGATCCATTGAAATTCTTATGCCACGTGAGTTGCTTAGAGCAAGCATGCTCAATCCCTTTTAAGGACTTGTATTTGCTGAGATGTGTTTTTGTTGTGACAAATTACGTTATTTGTTGCTTTCCCACAACAATGTTATAAGCATTGCACATCTTGACATGCAGGTGATTTGCTGATGCTATTGAATGTTTCATCTGACGAGAAGATTTTGCCTACAACATATGGTGAACTTAGGCCTCCTCTGGGGAAGCATCGCCTAAAGGTTGTCCAATAATGGCAGTTTAATGTTTTATCTTTTCCATTTTTTGTAGGGGTATGCTTAGCTTGGAAAGTAAGAAGCAATACATGAATCCTCATGGTCCCCATCTCATCTTATTAACTGAAGTTTTATTAACAAACTTCACTGACTTGTATTTGTTTGCTCTTCTAGCAGACTTCCTTGATTATTTTTCACCCTTCATGTTTTTATTCTAAATTTTACATTACCCAATTTTAGATTGTGGAGTTCATTGCGGTGCTACTGAAAACTGGCAATGAAGTTGCTGAGAAGGAATTGATCAGCTCTGGGACAATTCACAGAGTCCTTGATCTCTTCTTTGAGTAAGTTATTGCTTCAATTTGTGTTTTTAATTCATTATTTGTGGTGAGGTAACTAAGTGGATCAGAAAAGGCTTCGACTTTACTTGAGTAATATCTCATATAATTTTTAATGATTTTTTTTGCTAAACATGCATATTGCTAACATCAGTATTATTTTGATTGATGCAGGTACCCTTTCAATAATTCATTACATCATCATGTGGAGAGTATTGTACTTTCATGCTTGGACAGCAAAAATAATACAATTGTCGATCATCTTCTTCAAGAGTGTAATTTGATTGGAAAAATTCTCCAAACGGATAAACATCCCATTCTTTTGAGTGATCTAAATCAGGTAGATAGAAGCATTCTTCTGGCGAAGAATGTCCATTGTTTGGTAGCATTCTCCTGTAGAGCTGTATGAATTATGATCCTAGTGCATTGCTGGTTCTTATAACTCAATCCTTCTTAATTTCCAGCAGTGATTAGAATTAAGAACTTGAGACAGAAAACACTAAAGTACGCATTTAGCTTCAATTGTCTACTTTTGATGTGATTTGAAATGGAGAAATATCATTGGAAGTTTTTTTAATTTATTTGATACCATCTGTTTAGTATCATACTCAAAACTTAAAAGTTGCCTCTTTGCATTTGCATATGTGATATTATGAATACCTTGATTATGTAGCCAACTTTACCTGCCACTGGGAAACGGCCACCGCGAGCAGGAAACCTTGGGCACATCACACGAATTTCGAACAAGCTTATTCAGTTGGGAAACAGCAACAGCCGCATTCAGGAATTTCTTCAGGTGAGTGATAGGCTGGACAAATTATGTTTTATATGCCTTTCTTTGAGTTTTGAGTTATAATGTTAGATTCTACTATATTTCTACATATATTTCTACAAGTTTTTACTTTTGATAACATTTCTAAGGTTATGTTTGGTTTACATTTTTTTGTAATTGTTTATGATAATACTAATAAGTAAACATTTAATTATTCATTTTTGGTTTACAATTAGGGAAATTCAATCTCTGCTGATTCTTAGCTGTTAGCAAGGCTGTTTAAAGGTTAATTACTGTAGGCTTTTTAAAGATTAGTCACCATAAAACCTGGTTATATTCAAGTACTCTTTTGCTTAAGCTATCAGGAAATAATCACTTTTGTGCTTGAAATCTGCCAAAACTAATTTAAGCCAAACACATTTAAATATTGCAGTACCTTTCGTCAAGAGTGATAAACCCCCATTCGAGTTTTAATGGCACATGAAGTTTCGTACTTACAGAAAAGGGCACATGCAGTTTCTTGTAATGCAGGAAAATTTAAAATAAGTGGTTGCCTAGTTGGGATGGGGCTTAGAATTGCTTGTTAATGAATTTGTGGAAAAAGGGATTGTAATCACCTGCTGAATGAAGTTTCTTTAAAAAATGGTTGCCAAATGAATTTTTGAATTAAAATAGATGATATTTGATGGTTATTGTTATTGTTGCTAATTTTCTGGATTTTTTTTAATAAAAAATTTCTGGATAGTTATGAAGCCAAGATGACTGCAGCAAAGAAAATAGGCAAGCAATCACTAAAAAATTCAGCAATATATCTCATTCCTTGTACTCTGATAAAAAATCTTGTTTCTTGTACTACATGCTGTATTTTTGGACTTTAGAGTACTATCGGCATCTCAAAACCCTTTTAAACAAGATTAACCCATCTAGAAATCAATTCCTTGGGGCCATTGGACTGGGGTTAACCATGGTGCTCTTATGGGAAACTCCTTGCCGAGGTGTATGCACCCCTGGGGATTAGTCTAGCCTTGATCCGGACACCCCGATGGCAATGGAAAAAAAAAAAAAGAAATCAAATAGATTGTAGTTTTTATTAGTCGCAAGTCTTGGAGTAAATAATATAAGTTAGCTCAAGAAACTCCAAATTGGATCCAACCAAACACTAAACAAAAAAACTTTTGAAAATGGAAAGTTTATAGAATAGAAGTGCTTGCTTGGTGTTGTTTTAAAAAAAAATTTCTCGTAAACATATTTTATGACGAATGAAAATTGTGAGTACATGGTGTCTTCATCTGTTTTAGTACCCCCTATCTGGAAAACCAAAAATAAGGAACAAATTACAGCATTTTGCTGTTCCTTGAAAGTTGATTCTTTTTAACCCTATTTTCTGGGGAAAATTTTCAATAACCACCATCCAAATGAATTTTCAGCCCTGTTTTTTGATGTGTAATTCTGAAAACAGAAACCAAAATTAAAAACCCTCCAAAAGACAGCCTAACTTCTTAAGGCGAGGAAGAAAAACTTCTAGCAGAGACGAATCTTGTAGTAATATTATGACTCCACTGCCAGATTGTCCATTTTTTGGGGTCCAAAGTGGCATGAAAACGCTCCCTAAGAACTTTTGAATGTAAAAGATATGCAACTCTAGTTCCTTGGAAATGAAATTACCAGTAAACTGAAGCTGAAAAGCTCCTAGTTTTCAAGTAACTGAAATATCTCGTGGCACCCTAAAATTGAATGAGCTAAGAAACTAATGAACGAGGCAATTATGATGGACACTTTCTATTGGGCACAAGCCGCACGACAGTGTGCATGTGTTTTGGGCCTAGATTCTTAGTTTTGGGCTTTGGAAGATGTCTCTTTCTCTCTCAAGTCATTAGGTCTTACTTCATTATGTGTTTGTAATAGGTGTATATTTACGTCCAATGTTTCTTAGCTCTGAATTGATTTCTGTGTCATTATTGGTTCCTTCAAAACTCTTGCTTGTAAGTGTTTCTCATATAGTTTGAGTCTAACATTGGTGAGATAGAGAAACTGAATTTTCTTATGTTGGTTAAACTGAGCAATTGTATGTTTGTTTGATCTATTGATTGGAGGACACATCACTTTACTAAAACAATGGCTCACTTGTGCTCTTCAGGAAAATAGCGAATGGAATGATTGGCAAACTACTGTTTTACAAGAGCGTAATATGGTAGAAAATGTCTACCGATGGGCTTGTGGGTATGCTTCTTCCCTGTATGATTGTGCTTTAATGCAACTGTGATAAATGGTGTTTGTGCATAGTAAAAGGACTAAGAAGCACGGACATGGACACACGATAAAATACAGACACCGACATGCCAAGACAGAAATTTTCAAAAAATGTATAATACGACATATAGGGGAGATGTCCAAAATATGTAGTTCTATATATTTATTATATGACATATATCATGATAACAAGTATTATATGTCATGCATATATATAAATATTTAATTTAAAGATCATGATTTTTAAAGTGTAGAGGAGAGAATTTATAAATTTACATTGTTTTTCTTTTATCATTGCATTCAAAGTTGTTTCATTAAAACTTGTAATGTTTTTCATGTTTGTTTAAGTGACAGACATGTATTCCCCAAATATTTGAAACTCTGTCCAAGTCTAGAAATTTGTTAAAAATACATGTTTGGACGTGTTTGATAGGTGTTGGAAATATATTCTACAAGGGTGTCGTATGCGTTGTAGGTGTCCATGCCTTTTAGTAAAAGGTAACGTTTGTTGCTTTGATGAAACTAATAGTCAAACATTATTTGAGTTTTATTTCACTTTTTCATAAAAATAGAATAAGAGAGCCAGCTGAACATGACTAGGTTCTCTGACAAAATTCTGATATCCCACAAATTACTGAACTAAATAAACCCCCCATCAAAATAGGGACCACCACCAAAATAGATAAGTCTTGTCTGCATGTTTCCCTTTCCTGCTGCCCCTAAGACCAAGATCTATTGGCCTGTTTCATTTCCTGTTTATATATATAATATATATATATTTTATATTTATTTTTGATATATACAGGCGCCCAACTGCATTGCAAGATAGGACAAGGGATAGCGATGAGGATGACCTTCATGACAGAGATTATGATGTAGCAGCCTTAGCAAACAATCTAAGCCAAGCATTTAGATACAGCATATATGATAATGAAGATGGTGATGTGGTATTGATGGATTCACTTTGTACCTTTTTTTTTACAATTCCTGTTCATTTCATTTTTACTTTTTTGATGGATGGACAAACTCTTCAGATGCTTTAAGTTGATGTACCTTATCATTGGTTGCAGGGCAATGGGGCGCTTGATCGAGATGATGAGGTAAGATTTTCAAATTTATTCCTTTGCCTTTGACCCCTCTCAATTAATGGAGAAGAAATTGAGGTTGGTTAACATAAATAGACATTAGTGAATTGGAGGCAGAATACTTGGCAATAATTGACATATGAACTCTTTAATCCATCCTTCAATGTATTAAACAGAGTTGTTTTATTTTGATTTACAAATTGCAGGATGTCTACTTTGATGATGAATCTGCCGAAGTTGTGATATCATCTCTCAGGCTAGGTGACGACCAAGGGAGGTGAGTTTTCCAACTCTGTTTTTGTAGGACTTACATTTACGAATGGAGTTCCAATTGACTGATGAGTTCTCAGCTTGCAAGCAGGATAGTAGTTTGTATATGACTTGGTTCCACTAGGATTACTTGTCCAAGATTCAGAGGGATATTGTTATGGTTTCTTGTTTGCAGTGCTTGCACACCCTCTCTCATGTCCTCCCTCACTCCAAAAGATATTGAATGCTAATTTGAAAGTTTTGTTCACGTTGCTTTAGATATCTTGAATAGCTAGAAACAAGATTGGCAAGGGATAGAAAAATGCATTAGCATAGAATATCGTTCCTATGAATAGGTGTGTGAGTCCAAAGTATTTGTCCTGGTCCAGGGTTGATACAATTTAAGCTGAGAATTTTAACTTGAAAAAGCATTTTGAAGGTCAGGAATTTGCTGCCTCTGCCTGTCGAATCAGGAATGAATGTCTTTGTTTAGATCAATACATTTAGCACGTTGTGGTTAGATTTCTATGAGACTACTTCTATCATGAGGTTATCGTATGAAGACTTTGAATTGGGCCTTTATTGCTCTTTTGGGCAATTATTCATGCTAATATGCATACTTCTATCGGCTGGATGTTGTATGAGAACTTAGAATTTGGCCTGTATAGTGTTTTTGAGCAATTATTCATGCTTCCAGATGTAATAAATTTGTTTCCTATGTTGCCGCAGTCTCTTCACAAATTCCAACTGGTTTGCTTTCCAAGATGATAGAATTGGTGATGCACCTATGGGTGCGACCCTCACGGAGATGATGGATGAGATCAACTTGAATGGAACGTCAAGTAACGGTAACAGTAGTAGTGATGATGAGGTGGTGGTTGGAGAGGATGAGGAGTTGGCTGAAAGCAAAAGTTCCGCTAATGGCACATTGAGTTCCAACACAAATACCTTGAATGGATTTGCCGGAAACAATTCCCCCACAAATGGAGACTTGATCCCACAGAATGGGAACGCTAGTTCTTCTGTTGATATGGGTTTCTTCCGATTTGAGACACCAGACGAGGACCCATTTGGAGACAGGCCTTTACCTGAATGGGTTGGGTGGGGTGAGTCATCGGATTTTCAAGTTGGTGGTGCAAGTGTAAATCCATTTGAAGATCCTGTAAATGTTAATCTCACCGATCCAGCTGAGGCAGAGGCAGGGAATGTTAGTTCTCCAACAAGTGGAGAAGAAATCATACCAAATGGTACCTCAACTGCTGTGGACACAAGTGATGGGCCTGCGGGACCAGATTCGAGTCAGAGAGCTGCTGCTGCTGCTGCTGCTGCAGTGCCGTCTTTGTTTGAAGAGGATGTAGAATTTGTTGGAGTGGAATTGGAGGGCACTGAAAAGGCAATGGATCAGGCTTTGAAGGAGGGGATTGTTGGGGAAGCGGGACCATTGAAGAGGAACGTTGTCCCAAAGATGGCAGAGAAGGAGAATAATGCTGAGGAGAGCGGATCGGGGATAAAGGAGTTCAATGATGCAAACTATTGGAGGGTTGATCAAGAGGTTGCAGTTCTGGAGTAGTAGTAGTAATGGTGGATTGATATTGTGTTTGGAATATTTTAACCCCAACAGTCAGTTGATCAAGGGCTTATGCAACAGACATTTATGTACAGGGTATATTTTTGTTTCTATTTCCGGTCGAAAATTGGATGGTGTTAGGTTATGTGTTGGTTATTAGTGTTCCATTATTTGTTACACTTAATTGTTGTTTATTATTATTATTCAAGGTTTTGTTTTCTTGCAATTACTGATTTGTGGGTTTTCTCATTTCTTTTGTAATGTGTGTTCATTCTGAGATGACTTGTGTGTTTGATAGGCCTCACTCAGCTTGTGATTTGGTGACAGTATTCATGGTATGATGTAAAATTTTTACCAATTAACTTGGTGCATCTTCATGGGTTTTGCCATTTTGGCATGTTGTCAATTGTCAAAATTAAATTTTGATATGTTACAATATTTCGAATGTCAAAAGCTAGACTACCAAGTTTCCGGATTAGCATCCGAAAGATCAAATGCTTCCTCCTCACTTGGTGTAAAAAGAAATAAATCAACCTTACCCAAACTCTCCTCTCTCTACGTCTCTTTCCATCCATTGTTAGAAACCTGAAGTGGATCGGGACCGAGCCTTGTTCTGGTCTAAAAAACCTTCTATATCCTGACCAAGGCCAAAACTGGTGTAAAATTAAAAAATCGGTAGATCCGGTGGTCGAACTGGCGACCAGAATCGAGTTTTGAGGGTCGACTTTTTATTATTTTTATTATTTATTTAAAATTATGTCTTAACTTTTTTTTTTTCTTTATTTCTTTCTTATATATATATATTTTAAAATTTTAACTAAAAATTCTTACTTCAAGAGTCTCCTCTCATAAGGAAAAGTTTCAGGAGGAGTCTTATTGGAAGCTTGAGGAGATTATGAATGTCTATTGCTATTTATAGAAAAAGATTTTTCAAGAGAGCCAACAAAATTATATGTGGATTCAATCAAATTATTTGAATCATATTGATTGGAAGGAGAGTTGAAAATTTTATTTTCTTCCAAAATTAAATCTAACATTCAATCAATTTGTTTGGAGGGAATGTCAAAAAATTTAATTTCTTTAAAACAAGTGACTTTTCTTATCAATTATGATTTTATTAAATATTATTAATAAATACTATTCAACAATTTTTATTTTTATTTAAGTATTTATATATATTTTATTTATTTATAATTTATAATTATATTTTTTAATTATATAATATTAATTATGAAATCACAGTTTAATCACTTTGACCCGACGGTTGAACCGGTGATCCGTGTATCCAATCTTTTTTGCAGCTCATCCATCAGTCCGATTTTCAAAATATTATTTCTATTTCAACTCGGTTGTTTCTTTACTTCATTCATCCTCTCTATAGAGTTTAGTTTTTTTTTTAAGTGATTTTTTCGTACAACTATTGTACCATTGTACCCTCCATAAAAAGTTTAGATTTTTTTTAAGTGATTTTTTCTAAAATATTTTTAGAGTATTTTTTGTACAATTATTGTACGATTGTACCCTCAATTTTTATGGAGGGTGATGATGAAATGAAGGGCTGGAGGTGGCGTGGAGAGTAAGGAGAGACTAGGAGGTGGCGGCGGCTTAGTTCTCGTGTGGGGTAAATTTTTTTGACTATCTTAACTTAATTTAAAAAGTTATATTTGACATTATTTAAATTTTTTTTGAATGATTGTAAGAAAAAAAATTAAATAATTATGATTTGAATAAGATATTTGATTTTATTAGATATTTTAATTTTCTTTTAATCTCTATTGACTATTTTATTATAGCCTAAAATTTGCATCTCAAACTACGCCTTAGAGATGAGAAGAGTATTGTATAGGTAGGCCGGTCCTGAGGACAGATAAGAGAGGTTTGTGTATTGAGTCCCTAAATTTGGATTGAAAATAGGAGTTCCAAATATAATTTTATGTTTTAGATATAAAAAAAAGACCCAAATACTATAGGCCCAATTGAACATGACGCTAAAAAAAAAAACAAGACTAGATTTTTATTTTTTTTAAAGTATATGTAATAATTGTTTCCTATTTTAATATATGAAAGTAAATTTTTATTTATAATTTTAATGATTATATGTGTAAATAAATTTTTTTATAGCTACAAACAAATAAAAAAATTATAATTTACCATTTTATCTATAATTGTTTTTTTAACATAAAAAGGCTCCATTTTCGAAGTTTGCTTGCCCCTTAAATCTCACGGCCGGCGATACGGCGGGTGGTTGGTGTGTAAAGAAGATTACGGTTAGAGTTTGGATAGAAATAAAATTTTATGAGACAATAAATTTATAATTAAAAAAAATATGATTAGCAGCATTTATTCCTCTAAAAAAACTAAAAGCAGCATTTTAACAAACAAAAATAAAATAAAATAAATAAAGAATAGCTGTGTCTCTCTGGATATATGTCGAACACTCTAGAACCACGCAAAATTCGTGACCTATAAGAAGCGGAATATTGGATTGATTTGTGGCTGCAATGCAATTCTATGATTCAGGCTGCTGAGACATCAAAGTGAGATTCAACATTATCAGCTAGGGTTTCAATTCGAAGAAGATGATAGAGGTGGTGTTGAACGACAGGCTAGGGAAGAAGTGCAACGAGGACGACGCCATTGGCGATCTCAAGAAGCTTGTTGCTGCCCAGACTGGAACTTGAGCCGAGCAGATCAGGATCCAGAAGTGGTAAACCATTTACAAGGACCACATTACTCTCAAGGATTACGAAATTCACGATGGCATGGGACTCAAACTCAACTACAATTGATTCATTCATTCATGTTTCGATCTTCTACAAGTAAACACATACATCTCTCTCCTCTACGCATCCACTTTAATTTCATTTCATGTGCGTATCAGTGTTGTTGAATTTAGTTTGTTAATAATGCTGATTATACGATCAATCTATGTTTAGCCCTAATTTTGTATTTTATTTTATGTTAGTTTTCCATTATTATCATTAGAGAAATGCTACGTATCATGAAAAAACTTTCATGAAAATGATCATTGAAAAATTTTTGACCCTTGAATTAAACTAAAACATCACACACTAATCAAGGTAATCCAAGGGTCATAAATTTTTCATGATCAGTTTCATGAAAATTTTTTCATGATCCCTATTTTTTCTCTTATCATTAACTAGCTTGTGCAAGTCAAGGAATTAAAAATAAGAAAAAAGCACTATAAAAGGTAATAAATGTGCATGCCTATTAACCCCACTATTATAAAGTATAAAAGATAATAAATGTACGGCATTATATTAGCTTTTTATCCTTTTATGCATTTTTTTAATCTTTTATTTTATTATTCATATTTATTATTAGAGGACTTACGTTTAGGTCTTCATAGATACACTTATTATTCAATAAGTTTTGTGAGAATTAATGACGTTTTTCATCCAATACTATTATGAAAGTCACTAATTACTAATTTTTAGTAACAGATTGAAAATTATGTCACAAAAAAAATGTTATTCATTATAAGTTTTTGCGACAGTTAAAAAAAAACTGACACAAAAAAAAGTCATGGATTTTTAACTTTCAGTAATAGTTTGAAAAATTCATCATAGAAAAACAAAATTCATCACAGAAAAAGTCATTAATTGTAAGTTTTGGTGACAATTTATAAAAATTATGACAAAAAAGTCACTAATTGTCAATTTTTAACTACATATGCAAACAATTCTCATAAAAAATAATTTTTAGCGACAATTTTATTAGGATTTATTTTTAATAGGACTTGATGAGAATTAAGTTCAACGATTACGTCCTATTGGTAGTTTACCCTTATCATATTATTGGGGCATTTACACACAATTAATAATTTATGAACTCATACTCCATTAAGTCCTAACTAAGATTTTTTGGACCTTCAAGTCCCATTAAATTTTTAATAGTTGGAATTGTATTTTAAACAATAATTGTTCATCATTTATGATTATCTATAAAGGAACATGATGATTTGACATTTATTTTGATTTTCAAAATTTTAAAATATTAACTTTCAAATGGAAAATACTAAAAAAAAAAAAAATTATGTGCAAAATTTTTTGAAAAAATTAAAAAAAACTAAATTATTTTTTTGTGCAAAATTAAAATTTTTGTGTCTATAAAGGAGCATGATGATGGAATATTGATGTGCAAAACTGAAAAAAATAATTTAAAAATAAAAAATAATAATGTTCTCAGTTTTAAAATTGAAAAAAAACTGATAATGTTCTTGATTTTATTAGATAGTTGAATTAAACCAATAAGTAGAAGGGCAAAAATGTTTAATCCCATGCTCTGTTTTTTTATCAGTAACAATTATCTGAAACATTATTATTCAAAATTGATATTGTTTTAGTTTTAAAAATTGAAAAAAACTGATAATACTCTAAGTTTTAAATAGGATTTATTTGTTCAAAAAAATCTTACTAGGACTTGAGCTACCATAATATTTGTAAATAGGACTTGATCTACCATAATATTTGTAAATAGGACTTGATCTACCATAATATTTGTAAATACGACTTGATCTACCATAATATTTGTAAATAAGACTTTTAGGTAATTAATTTTATATTATTTTTTATATCCCTTTCATATTTTTGTACATATTAACATGAAAAATTTACTTATAAATCCCATCTTGAAGAATAATGATTCATTTAGTTCTAAGGATTTTCTTATGGACCAATTAGTCCCATTGATTTTGGAAAGGTAAATTTAATATGTTATTTAAAAATTAAATTTACGGTTATATCTTTATTTCTATTATGTTCTTTATCTTTTTTTTTTCTTTTTTTTTTCTTTCTTTTGTGCTAGAAAAGTAAAGTACACAATATATAAGAATCAAATTTGAGATGAATTTTTATGTAATTTTTTTTTTATTTGGCAAACATTTTAAATAGAATTCAAAAATAACTTAAAATATAGGATTCTTTAAACATTCCAAAAGGATGTGAGATTTTTCAAACATTTCAAAAGAAGTACAAAAACTACTTAGTAAGTTTTGGCCAAATGTATAATTTCAAACTGTAATACTCTAACATAACACTCCAATGTAACACTCAAATAAAAATAAAAAAATCTTAGTGTATTACCATAATGTAACACATAAAGAAACTCCTTACTATACTTTTCTCAAACGTAAAACTCCAAAAAAAAACTTCTTAATGTAACACTCTAATGTAACACGCAAAAAAAATTTTCTTATTATAACATTTTAATGTAACACACAA